CCCTCCCCCCTGTGCAGTCTGTTATTCATTTCCAAACTTGAATCTGCAAGAAGAGAATTACATTAGATCTAGCGCAAGTCTTGATAATATAAATGCTGCTGAGGTGAGCATTTGGAGATAATTTCCAATCAAAAGATGAGCAATTTGATATATTCCTTTTACTTTACAACACACAATGTTAGCTGTTGCTTGTGTTGTGCTGCTTTGGAACACATAATGTCTATATATTTATCAAAAGTTATGATGACTAACTTAGTACTGAATATCCTTTGTTATGTCAATACGCATGTAAATGTAATGCCACTCATTCTAGCGTAGCGGTTGATGGTACAGTGGGCCATATAGTATAACAGACTGGATTACAACAGGACAGTCCGATTTCTTATACAGGCACAATGCCTTCCCGTTGAGTGGCAAAGACTTACGAACGGTGCCGGAATAAAATCAAAAGACTGAATGAAATGTTGGCACTGCATGTTAGATCTACCGCAGATCTAGATCTATGTGTGCTCCTTTTCCCAAACGTGGTATAAGTAACTTTTCGATTACGAACAGTTGTAAACGCACATAGCATGCTGTTGTAGACTCCCCCTAGCGTGGATATGACTGCTGAATAAAAAATACAGTTAACTCCGCTTGTGTTGAATTCGCTTGAGTCGATCATCGGTTAATTCTCCGGTCCCAGCATTTCTTCTTCTTTACAGACCCCAACGGTTAAGTTGAACTTCAGATGAGTTGACCTTTTTTTTACTCCCCCAACGACATCAACTCATTCGTAGTCGACTATTATGTCAAGGCGAGCTCCATGAGACCAGGGTACAAGAAAAGGAAAGATAGAGATGAGCAGACAAAAAAATAAACACTGAAAAAAGTAGTAACAACTGATAAATAGGTAGTGGGTGATCTTTGTAATAAAAGTGATCCCATTTGTCAATCGTTAGTTACAGCGTATGTAAAACGTGATCCTCGTTTATAGCAGGGTTCGGCTATAGCAGGGGTGTCACGTCAGCCCTGACGGTCCTATTTATAGCCGAGGGGCACTGTTCAAGTCCCGGCTCAGGCAAGTGAAGTGAAATCAGACGCCAGTCTCCAACTTCACTCTGTTTTTTGTTTTATTTTGTTGTGTTTTGTTTTTGGTAACTGTTTTACGGCGCTCACAACTGCATAAGGTCATATGAACTCGCAGAACACATTAGATCTATACGTTTTCAGTTTGGTAGGAATTTTGAATTTTCCCCGGTGGCGGCCGAAGCCTACTCTTATCGATTATAGGACCCCAATGGATCTTTAACGTGCACAGCATGCAGAAGGGACCTCCGAGATTTTTCGCCCTTATCCGAGAAGGCAATGTGTTAGATCTTGCACACTGTAAGATCCTGCGTGTGGCTGAAAGACAGCAGTAAAAAGGAGCCAAGGAGTAGAAATGCTGCAGAAAAAATCAGGAGCCCAGGGAAGGTGGCAAAGGAGCTGAGGGATGGGGACAGAAAGTGGAGACGAAAGCAAACGACGACATAGCATGATTAGACCACAGGAAAGGGGTTGAAAGGAGAACGTTTTAGAAAAAAACATGCCATCGCTGTCACATTTCGAACCCGGCACCTATTGAATGAGAAGCGAACACTGTAACCTCTAGACCATGAGAGCCCCCTCAATGTCTACTGGCTTTTCTCCAGGCTGCATCCAGTGGGTTTCGACGACTCCTAGCATGTGCAGCTTGAATATTATCTCTTCATCTTTCATGACACTTGGGCACCCTTTCCTGCGAACATTCCACGACGCAATCCGGGGAGACTTGTTCGACAGAGAAACTGGTGCAGAAGCTCCTCTGTCTCCCGACGAGATCGAAAAATAAAAAGACGTGTTTGCTACTACTGTTACTGTTACTTTTCAGTTTTTACGGAGTCGGGTGGTTAGCCCTCCGCCAACTGGAACTTATTTGGGAGACAAGGCCTACGCACCTTTAATCACCTCTTACGGCACGCAAGTGTTACTTTTGGGTCCTCCAGTAAATAGTTTTTGGTAAATCTATGAGACCCCCACCGGCAAAGGCGATAGGTTGGGGGGGGGGGGGGGCTCCGAAAAAACAGCAAAACCTCACGAAGAATCAACCAGTAGGCCTAGCCTATTTTATTTATCTACTAACTAGCTATCATTTTGGCATGTCGTGATCTGGGAAGTCTAGTCAGTGAGATATAGGAAGAGGCGCATTACATGCAATTCTAATACGGTACTTCAAAAATAACCAAATAGTGCGGTCAAAAATTCGTGGCACAACTCAGTGTCAAATATTTCCAAAACTATCGAACAACATAGACTCTCCAGCTATTGCATACTGACTTTGTATCAATTTGTCTCAACAGATCACTATTTTTGTGAACACCTGTTAACTGTATTCTAGAAAATTCCTTAATAAACTATAAATAAAAAATCCAAGTTGGTGGTTTCTACTCTACAGGTTTTTTAAAGGTTTGCAGCTGGGCCAATATCGCTTTTAAAAGCAAGTCCGTCATTTTTTTTTTAATTTCTAATCGTGACACTGCTTCTTGAACGTATATTTTAAGAATCTTTAGCGCAATAATGTGTTCATTAAAATATTATTTTCATGTAAAAACTTTTGCCACTAAAAAGTGTTATTGGTGAGCAGAGGCCTTACGTGTACATGTACAATGTATACAAATATGTGTGTGAGAACCCCGAAGTGCTGTGAACAGTCTCATTTTCCGCATGACGGAGATTTAAAGTATTTTATATAAATTTCTAAAGAAATTTTTTTTAATCTAGCCTCGATTGTTGTAGTGAAATATGACCAAGTTAAGACAAACTGATACAAAATGTTGTGCAAAGTATGGCTGACATTGATTCACTCTTTAAAGAGATACATTTTAAGGATAAGTTGGGCCATGGACTTTTGACCGCTCTATAACTTACTTCTCCCTTTGACCCCCACTGTGACCAGATACAGTGTTACTGTATACTCACAGACCGCCAACAGGCTTTCAAATATGTCATCACGATCCTGGACCAGTCTCTACGCAGATCAAGCTGTTCTCGGGATATAAGGTTCTCTTTGCCTGTGAATACATTCACGGCACCAGATGTTTACTGGATTTCCCCTTTTTCTAGTTCCTTTTGTCATGGATTTATTTTTCCTCATCATAAGGCCTGTCTTAGGCCTATGGTATTGCTACAGCTTGCCTGGGATTAATATATGCGTACCTCAATCGTCTCCAGTGGATTTTGTCACGGACAAGCATATCAATTAGTAAAAGACCTGACGTGCACTAAAGAAGGGCGCACCACCACCATTCAAGGCAAACAAGGAAAATACCTGACAGAGGAACGAGACATTTTGAAAAGGTGGACAGAATACTGCTCAGAATTGTACAACTACAAAGACACGGGAAACCCCGAGATTCTAAACGTTCCCCCAGCAACCAACATCGATAACCACCCAATCCTTCGAGAAGAAGTTGAAGCAGCAGTTAAGGCACTGAAGAAGGGGAAATCAGCTGGAGTGGACAACATCCCAGGAGAATTGATACAGGCAGGGGGAAAGGACATGATAAGCGCTCTGACTGTCATCTGCAACAAGATCTGGCAGACAGGAAAGTTGCCAACATCATGGACACAATCACTAGGGATTACATTCCCCGAGAAAGGTAACCTGCAACTATGTCAGAATTACCGCACCATCAGTCTAATAAGCCACCCCAGTAAGGTTATGTTGAAGATAATGCTGAACAGATTGAAACCTGAGGCAGAGAAGATCATTGCCGAAAAGCAGGCAGGCTTTAGAGCAGGGTGCAGCACAACAGAACAGATCTTCAACCTCAGAATACTGTACGAGAGGTGCCTCCAACACCAACAAAACCTATACCATATCTTTGTGGATTTTAAAAAGGCGTTCGACAGGGTCTGGCATGCAGCCTTATGGGCAACCATGAGGAAATATAACATCAACGCCAACCTGATCAACGTCATACAACAACTATACGACAAGGCCTCCAGCGCAGTCTACCTGGGGGGGCTCCGAAAAAACAGCAAAACCTCACGAAGAATCAACCAGTAGGCCTAGCCTATTTTATTTATCTACTAACTAGCTATCATTTTGGCATGTCGTGATCTGGGAAGTCTAGTCAGTGAGATATAGGAAGAGGCGCATTACATGCAATTCTAATACGGTACTTCAAAAATAACCAAATAGTGCGGTCAAAAATTCGTGGCACAACTCAGTGTCAAATATTTCCAAAACTATCGAACAACATAGACTCTCCAGCTATTGCATACTGACTTTGTATCAATTTGTCTCAACAGATCACTATTTTTGTGAACACCTGTTAACTGTATTCTAGAAAATTCCTTAATAAACTATAAATAAAAAATCCAAGTTGGTGGTTTCTACTCTACAGGTTTTTTAAAGGTTTGCAGCTGGGCCAATATCGCTTTTAAAAGCAAGTCCGTCATTTTTTTTTTAATTTCTAATCGTGACACTGCTTCTTGAACGTATATTTTAAGAATCTTTAGCGCAATAATGTGTTCATTAAAATATTATTTTCATGTAAAAACTTTTGCCACTAAAAAGTGTTATTGGTGAGCAGAGGCCTTACGTGTACATGTACAATGTATACAAATATGTGTGTGAGAACCCCGAAGTGCTGTGAACAGTCTCATTTTCCGCATGACGGAGATTTAAAGTATTTTATATAAATTTCTAAAGAAATTTTTTTTAATCTAGCCTCGATTGTTGTAGTGAAATATGACCAAGTTAAGACAAACTGATACAAAATGTTGTGCAAAGTATGGCTGACATTGATTCACTCTTTAAAGAGATACATTTTAAGGATAAGTTGGGCCATGGACTTTTGACCGCTCTATAACTTACTTCTCCCTTTGACCCCCACTGTGACCAGATACAGTGTTACTGTATACTCACAGACCGCCAACAGGCTTTCAAATATGTCATCACGATCCTGGACCAGTCTCTACGCAGATCAAGCTGTTCTCGGGATATAAGGTTCTCTTTGCCTGTGAATACATTCACGGCACCAGATGTTTACTGGATTTCCCCTTTTTCTAGTTCCTTTTGTCATGGATTTATTTTTCCTCATCATAAGGCCTGTCTTAGGCCTATGGTATTGCTACAGCTTGCCTGGGATTAATATATGCGTACCTCAATCGTCTCCAGTGGATTTTGTCACGGACAAGCATATCAATTAGTAAAAGACCTGACGTGCACTAAAGAAGGGCGCACCACCACCATTCAAGGCAAACAAGGAAAATACCTGACAGAGGAACGAGACATTTTGAAAAGGTGGACAGAATACTGCTCAGAATTGTACAACTACAAAGACACGGGAAACCCCGAGATTCTAAACGTTCCCCCAGCAACCAACATCGATAACCACCCAATCCTTCGAGAAGAAGTTGAAGCAGCAGTTAAGGCACTGAAGAAGGGGAAATCAGCTGGAGTGGACAACATCCCAGGAGAATTGATACAGGCAGGGGGAAAGGACATGATAAGCGCTCTGACTGTCATCTGCAACAAGATCTGGCAGACAGGAAAGTTGCCAACATCATGGACACAATCACTAGGGATTACATTCCCCGAGAAAGGTAACCTGCAACTATGTCAGAATTACCGCACCATCAGTCTAATAAGCCACCCCAGTAAGGTTATGTTGAAGATAATGCTGAACAGATTGAAACCTGAGGCAGAGAAGATCATTGCCGAAAAGCAGGCAGGCTTTAGAGCAGGGTGCAGCACAACAGAACAGATCTTCAACCTCAGAATACTGTACGAGAGGTGCCTCCAACACCAACAAAACCTATACCATATCTTTGTGGATTTTAAAAAGGCGTTCGACAGGGTCTGGCATGCAGCCTTATGGGCAACCATGAGGAAATATAACATCAACGCCAACCTGATCAACGTCATACAACAACTATACGACAAGGCCTCCAGCGCAGTCTACCTTAACGGCAGCATGGGGGATTGGTTCAGGACAACGGTCGGGGTGAGGCAAGGCTGTTTGCTCTCTCCCACTCTCTTCAACATATATATCTTCCTAAAACGAATCATGACTGACACTCTGGAAGACTACAATGGAACAATCAGTATTGGAGGCAGGACAATCACTAACTTGCGTTTTGCCGATGACATCGATGGATTAACAGGAGAAGAACAGAAGCTCGCCACACTAGTGGAGCGGCTGGACACAACCTCAGCAGCCTACGGCATGGAGATAAGTGCCGAGAAAACCAAGCTAATGACCAATAACACCAATGGCATCAATGCGGACATCAAAGTCAGGGGCGAGAACTTGAGACCGTCAACAGCTTCAAATACCTCGGATCTATCATCTCAGATGAAGGCCCAAGACCAGAAATTCTATCCACGCACATCTAAAAAATTAGACTAATCATCTCAATAGTCTCAATGGTCATCTCAATATTTTTATACGCCTGCGAGTCATGGACACTAACAGCAGAATTAGAGAAAAAGATTCAGACTACAGAGATGAGATGTTACCGCAGACTCCTTGACATCTCGTACAAAGACCACGTTTCAAATGCTGAAGTACGAAAGAGAATCACCAACGCAGTGGGGCAATATGAAGATCTACTGACCACAGTGAAGAGACGAAAACTAAAATGGTATGGGCATGTCACAAGATCCACAGGACTTGCCAAAACAATCCTGCAAGGAACCGTACAAGGAAAGAGAAAGAGAGGAAGGCAGAGAAGGAGATGGGAGGACAACAATACAGAGTGGACAGGAAAGACGATGGGTGACAATCTGAGGAGAGCAGAGGACAAAAATAGATGGCGAGAGCTGATTTTCCAATGCAGTGGTGCCCCAACGGTTGCCCCAACCACGGGATAGAAGAAGAAGAGAAGAAGACCCTTGAACGATTTGAAAATAAAATACCATTTTCTTAACATAGCTTGAAAGCTAAAAGAAAAAAGTATATATACACTGGAGAGATGGTCATAACAGAACCATCCACTTTGTACTGTGTACCATTGTTACAAAAGTAGAAGAGTTAATCTCCCGGCACAGCTGTTTTTAATTTTTATTTCGTGCCTAGGCTACGTCGTTGTTGTCGGTTCAGTTTTTAGTTGTTATGCCGGTGTGCGCATGCGCATATGACTCATAACATAACTCGGAAATAGATTTCTATTCATCAATTGCTTCCGTCGCTTCCGAGTTCAACTCCCCTTACGAGTTATCGATAAGGAGTAGAAATATTGACTTGAGAGATGGCTCGTGAATATGATCATCTATTCAAGCTTTTAATTATTGGTGACAGTGGTGAGTTTCAATATTTTTCCAGTCAGAATGTGTTTTTCACAAAGACTGCTTGACACTAGATAGATCTAGATCTGTTGTCCCCTTCTTCATGAACGTACGAAAGTGGAAGTTCCTCCCCAATAATTTGAAGCTGAACTGAAGACTTGACTTGGCTTCATCACTTCATCCCAAAGCCAAAGCGGCTGCCCACTTTCAATTGAATTCTATGGACCAAACGTGCGTCTAAATGAGTAGGACTGTAGCTGTAGACTACAGTGTACAGGCAAGCAGAGTAATCAAATTAGTGGATAGGTTTGGGGAAAGAGATGGCAGGAATCCTTTTTTTTATACTTTGACTTGGGTTTCTACACTGAGCGGAGCGGAGCGGGGCTGAGTAACTGAGTAGATCTAGGCCTGTTGTTGTTTTCAGTTTTGTCTGCTAGCAGGATACATTTTTACTTTTAAATTATGCCCGCTTGCAGATGCAGCTCTAGATCTAGAATCTAGATTCTAGATCTACTGTTGGGGGTAAAACCGCAGAATATATTATATAATAATAAAAAAGGCCACCTCTATTCTCACCCCGGGTGAGAATAGCGCAGGCAAGTCTTTTGGCTATTCTCACCCGGTGTGTGCGTTCACCGTTATAGCCTAGATCTAGATCTAGATCTAGACCAACCAATTTTGCGCTCACCCTAAACCACAGAATTCTACACTGTGATAACAGAAAAATTGTAGAATTCTGTGCCGTGAACCTAGCAATGCCAATGAAAATTTAAATTTCACTTTACCCTGTTTTGTTTGGTACCTAGAAAGAATTTTCGATTCTAAGAATTATGCTTCTTGAATTTTGAGAATCGGTTCATGAATAAAAAAGTTATGGGGTTGTAAAGGTCGGCAAAATATGGATGACCCACATATATAGGAAAATACTCCTAAAAAGTAGGGGCGGGCACGAGACGAGCCGAGTCTCGTTTCTCGCGAGTAACGGCCTTCCCATCACTGCCCGGGCACTAAACTTCTGCTCGGTACCGAGACGTGATACTGCCCGTTGGCTTGACATAACGAGTAACGGTAACGAGAGTGAGAGGCAAGAATTGACAACGCAGACAGTGCCACCCATCACCGTGCCGTCCTGTGTGTGAAACTGAAAGGGAGGGGAGAGGGTGGCGAGACGAGGCGAGTGGGGAGTTGATCAGGGCCTAGGCCTAGGTCGTCTCCCTACCTTCCTTCACCGCCTGCGCCAGCGCAACCGAGCTAGCCTAGCCTAGTTTCTAATCTAAGTTTAGATCCCCGCCACGACGGTCTTCTCGCTTTTAACGAGCTGCTCGTTCTGTGGGGCGAGAAGAGAAATCTCGGCCACGGCCGGCCTTCTCGCTGAACGAGTGGCTCGAACTGCGGGGCGAGAAGAGAAATTGGTCACGAGACGAGAAGCATTGCCCGAGACATGAGGCGGGCAGTATTTCTCGTTCTCGGGACCGGTCTCGGCGAGAAATAGGTCAGTTTCTCGGTCTTCTCGCTCGGGAAGGAAAAAGCGCTACCCGCCCGTCTCTACTAAAAAGTGGACCACGCAGTAGCAGATTCTGTAAGAAAATTGACGATATCTCGGTAACTAATCGGAGTGTTCGAGAGAAACTTGGCTACCCGATGTGTTTTTGAGTGTAGAAATCATTTCTGCAGTCAGATTTACTACCAATTTCTTAGTTATTTTGTTATATAATTAAAATTGTGGTGTACATATTACGATTTTGCGAAAAAGGGGTGTCTGGATGAGTCCATTTTATTTATAGCATCGTATCACAACATGGGATCTTTAAGAATATATGTCGGCAGCGTGACTAAATAATGGCAAAGCTTTTTATGATGACTTTAGACCATGCCAACTGTAAAAGATAAGTTAATTCATTCTAGCATGCCGTACAATTAAAAATTCTTTTTCCCCGTTGAGACGCGAACACCTCGAGACGAGATAACCTCGCCTCGGAATACCCCCATTGCGATGTTACAGGGGAATAGAGAGAAAAACAACTGGATGTGCGCGCCCGCCATTGCCTTATTTCAAGTGACCAATGAACGGGCCCGGAATAGTCATGCGGGGATTTGTAGGTCACATACATTTGCCACGAGAGTGAGGGGAAAATGGCCGGTCTCCGTGCGAAGCCGCTTTGGATAGGGGGGTAGTCGTGCATTTATGATCGGGTCTAAACAACTACTTGACACAGAACATTCAGATTTGAGCACACTATAGAGGATAGATAGATCTATTACCATCTCGGCGTTGAAATTCAAACTCCTTATAGTTTTCGGTGTACACGATACGAAAGTGTTCCTGACACCAAAAGTATAGGTTAATTTATGTGTACGAACTTTAACGTCCACATATCATTAGTTTGCCCTATTTTCTGATTGGTTGCCGAGTTTCATTCGGATTGGTTCTGAAATAGAGCAGACCGAGGTTGACAAAGTTAGTCACCTACGCTTCGGCCGGGTCCGCAAAATCGCCCGTAAACGGGGACCAAATTTTCGCCTCGCGGGAAAGCCCGATTGGCATTGCTAAACAAACGTTCCATTACTACTATTACTACTGTTAGCCTACTAAAAACGTACAATTTTGTCTGTGGGCAGAACTGAGAGAGGAGTAGCGAGAGAACTTCCAGGCAAAACAAAATGGCGACCCGCGTAGTTCGGCTCGATTCGAAAAATTAAATAGCAGTAGCATCTTTGTAGACGACCAAATTAATTTACTTTTGTGTTTTAACATCATTCTTTTACTTTGTTTTGGTCAATTTGATCGTCCACACCGATAGACAGTTTTCAGAAAGAGAGAGAGAGAAGAGGGGAGAGGAGTAGATCTTGCGAGAACTTCCGGGCAAAACAAAATGGCGACCCCCGTAGTTCGGCTCGATTCGAAAAGTGAAATAGCCATAAGCATCTTTGTAGTCGATAAAATTAGCTTGCTTTTGTGCTATAACGTAATCTTTTCTTTGCCTTTATCCATTTGATCATCCACATCGATAGAAAGTATTCCGAAATTAGGAAAAACAGGTCTTGTTTCACACCGGGTGAGAATAGCCTACGGTGGCAAGTCTCACCCGGGGTGAGAGGTCGATCGTATTTCTATTCTCACCCCGGGTGAGAATAGCCACTTCCATATATAAATTGGTGATCTTGTAGTAGTTCCGTTCATTAAAGTCCGCGATCCATAAAAATTTGTTTACATTCAGAGAAGAAAATATCCAGATAGGCAACACAAAGGACAGGGATGCAACCTAGATCTAACTGCAAAACATCAAATATGTGGTAAAATTCACCCCCCTCCCCTTCATATTTTTATCGAGGCCTAATTTTATTAGGTCAGGGCAAGCCCCTCTGAAACCCACCTACTCTTGACTTTAATAACGAACGAAACAGCAAAATCACCCATAAATCTATTATATTGATCGAAGTGACTATTCGGACTCGAGTCCGAATTCGGACTCGAGTCCGAATATGAAAAAATGTTATTCGGACTCTGGTTCTTGTCCAGCATGACATCACTTCCGACTTCCTGTGACTCGTGACTCCGGCTTCCTGTCCTGCCTCACTCGTGACTCGCCTCAGGCTGGGTAGAGACCGGGATCACTTCGGGCAAAATGGCGTTAAATTGTGCAGGAGCCGAGTTTTTATTTTATGATGAATTTGAGGCCGGCCTGAAAATTTAGAGCGCTTCTAATAAATGTTTATTTGCCAAGAGGTCATCAGAAGCAATTAAAGATGGCTCGTTAGCGTGTGTCGGGGTCGGATGGGCGGCCTGCACACGTATGGCTGTGTGTGCGTGTCGGGGAGGGGGGGGTGCTATCGGTCCGGGCGTTGAACGTCGCATACGCGTCAGTCCCCCCCCCCCGGCAACTGATCATTATTACAATAATATGCTAGTCTTGACGTAGATCTACGTAATGAATTGTGCGCTGGTCTATGGAATCAAAAGTTGCCGTATGCTCGGCTCTACACAGCAACACAACTTTTTCTTGGTAAACAATCGAGATGACACAGGCTTGTGTATTTGAACGAATCGTTCTTTTTATTTTACACAGTTCATAATATGCAGGTGCCAGGAGATCTGCTAATCTTCAATTTTACTTTTTTCTACAACAAAGAAAGTGGGAAACATTGGGGGGGGGGGGGGGGGGGGTATCAATGAGGCGATGATCATCGGATCGGCAGACAAGGTGTGGGGGAAACTAAAAAATGGCGGAAAATTGGAAGCACTGAACGTTAGATCTATAGAACAAAAACACTTCCTTTTTTCCGGACTGGTGTCCGAATAACATTTTTTCTTATTCGGACTCGAGTCTGAATATGAATTTTTTTTATTCGGACTCGAGTCCGAATATGAAAAAATGTTATTCGGACTCGAGTCCGAATAATGACGGCCTATATTGATATGAGCAATTGCATAATTGCCAAAACGTGAGACTCTCTTGAGACTCAGTGGTGCAAAAAAAAAAAATTTTTCTTACCAATTCGACTCTCTTTTCTGTCAGTCACAGATTGACATTTAGTGCCCATATTATTCCTAGAGTATCAGAGCAAGGAGATGTAGGGTTTTGGAGATATGGGTCTATTGGTTTGGCAACTACTGTATTTCTTGTCATGTCATGTAACAGTGATGACAAAAACAGATAAGCAGCAAGGCAAATTTTGGACTTTAAATTCCATTTGTTTAGTAAACAAAGACTTTGTACTCTATGAACTCCATTCATAATGGTAATATGAATGACAAGCTTTGTAACAATGACGCAGTGTACAGAACATGTCATCATTGTTATGTACAAGAAAGGATACACATTGGACATTATCATTGACAACACATCACAATAGTGAAAGGCTGTACGAATAGTTATCGAAGCCTCAGGACCAGAAAAAAAGTGTAAAACAATTTTTAAACTAATATGAGGCAAAAGCACAAAATCAATGGAGCTGTCCTGTACATAACAGTGATGACAAACATGACTTGTACATTTATTATAACAATGATGACA